GAACACTTTAATGCAAAAGAAATGCCTACTAGTTTCTCTAGACAGACAAGCACTATGTCAATCACAGACAAAGAAAATTTCCAGAAATGGTGGGGAAGTATGCCAAATAACAACTTTAATACTTTTACACACTGGTTTATGAGGGGAGCAAATAGAGCTAAGAAAGGAGGTCTTAACTTAGAAGAATGGACAGAACTTATAGAATATGCTATGGGTCCTTTGGCTAGTAGACTATTGGGATTCAATAACAGTGTGTCTGATCAGGCAGGAAGAATTGCTGCAACTAATTTCTATCTACTCAGCATAGAGAAAGAAATACCTAATATTACGATGAGGCCAGCAGATGGTCCTAGAGTATACACTACGCCAACCTCAACAGCCCCTGGTTTTGGGCTCACCAGAACACATTGCTAAAGTAATGGAAGCCCTTCCCTGGGAGTGTCAAGAATTTGTCAGGCTTTTTGATCCAATACCAGCAGACTTAGAAATGCTACTAACTAGTGCTGACAATTGGTGGATTAAGCATCCTTTCTCAGAACAGGCCTTCTCTGTTTCAGCCATAAGAACATTCAAGGTTGACTCTGGTAGAGATTTAGATGGTAAATGGAGAAGCCAGAGGTGGGATGTACCCCAGAACAAGAGGGATAATGAGAACTGGAGACCAAAACAGGACTTTGACAAAAGATGGAGAGATCCACAGAGGGACCATAGGAATAGGGACAGTGCTAAAGGAAGTAATGTAATGGGACATAATTGGAAAAATAGATGGGAGGAGCCTAAGGTAATCAATAATAATTGGAATAATAATAATACCTGGGAGAGGCTAAAAAGTAGAGATAACTGGGAAAATCACAGTTGGCAAGAAAAACAGAGAAACAACAGGAACAGTTATTGGGAGAATAATTGGAAAAGGAACCATAGATGGGATGAGCATCAGACCAATAGACAGAATTGGGATAATTGGAGGAATAAAGAAGGGAATAGAGACTACTGGGACCTAAAGAGACAGACTGAGAGATTGGAGGCAGACGTGAAAGCGCTTAGGGAACAGATGAGGGAGGGAAATACTGATCAACTGGGGGTCCCCAGCAATGAATAACTTCCATAATTTTTGTTGTCCTCTACATCTGTATGTATGTTTGTTTTTCTTTTGTTTCTATATTTTATCTGTCTCACCATTATCTCATAACACTCCAGTTTAAAGAGGACCTTAGTATGTATATATTTATATATATATATTTTTTTTTAGTCATATTAAGGATAAGCCTCTAAATTCATTCATTACAGTCAGGTGGGCCAAATTCCAAATAATTTTTGTTTTTATTAGTTTAGCACGCCTGCACTGCCAGCTATGTTTTATTTATTTTTTGATGCCTGATTAATAATTATAAATTCATAGATTAAGTGAATTGTTGCCAACGTGAGGCTTATATTTGATCACACTGGAGAGATGTGATAGTGTAATTTTCTGTTGGTTTACAACAGTAAAAACATTAAAAGCAGCAAGTTGATTTTTGATTTTTGAATAGCAACAGACAGTTTTCTATAGATTGCACACTGCCAAACTGTGTAATGGTAGCATTCAATCAACTTTTTTTTCTTCTCTCTCCATCTTTGATGCTTTTTTTTTTTGTCATTAAAAATATAGGGAAATTAGATTGCTTTGAGTGAAGATGGCATAAATAATAAAGTGACAATGTATGCTATTTGTTCTATTTGGCTATCCGCAGGGGGTTAAATAGTTATGGGTATGAGAATTTGCACCTACGTTCAATTGCGAATACGTTTTTCACCCTTACATCTTTCCCACTCACGTTCATGTATAATAATTTTCAGTTTAAACTATGTACATTTTGTGATTATTGCATGTATTCATCAGTAAATTATAAAATAACTAATATGGTTTTGTGATCAACTCTCCATCAGGTGTGGAGTAAATGTCTAAATTAATCAAAATTTCAGGAGACATTTGTGGGTCTTTTACATACCTCTAAAATGTAAACATAGCCTTAAGACACCACAACCAAATAGATTTTATTAGACAAAACTAAATAAGCCTTTGACACAAGACTGATTACTGTTGTACATATTTCATTGTCTGTGTTTGATTCAAAGAACATTTTAATTGGAAGGCCCAGAGAGGCGAAGGTAACTGACATGTCGTGTCACAGTTTACTATACAGATGAAGAAGTGCTGGGATTACCAAGACAAACTATTATCCTGAAAATGGATACTATACAGATGAAGAAGTGCTGAGATTACCAAGTCAAACTATTAACACAGCCCAGAATGAGGGCAAAGTAACAGCAAGAAGCAGGAATTTGTGTCATTTCAAGGTGGTCACAGAATGAGTTTACCATACACTCATGAACTTGCATGTGTCATTAAACCTACAAACCTCAAGCTTTGCAATGGATTGGCAAAGACAATATTCAAGGAGAGTTCATTCTAAAATCACAGCTATCAAGCACACAGATCAGTCACAGTCTTCAGATTCCAGTCCCAGGTGAAATTAAACATCATATTGTGTCATAAACTAGTGATAATTACTGTATGGGGTTGATTGCATCTAGATATTACTACTTCACATGAACACATTACCAAATAATATTAATGAACAACTACCAGGGTTCTTACCAACCCACTTGGGCAGTGGTTAATTTAAAAACGGAACAACTGAAAACAATTGAAATTGGGGGAATGTGGGGTGATGCAACCTCTGTTTGACTATATTCTTTCTCTCACTTTTAAATGTGCTCAACATAAGAGAAAAAAAAGTGAGGGAATGTGGTGACATTCTGTCATCAAACTAATATGGTGACCAGGGATCATGTGACCAAGCTCATGTATGCCTTTCTTACAGTGGGATAAGCTTTACCTTTTGATATGGTAATTGGGTAATTCAATACCTTTACAAGTCAGGAAAGAGGTAACCACTTCCCCCATCTCCATTCCTCCCTGTTCCTTCTTGGCTGTGCTACTGAGCAGACCCTTAAGCAGACATGGCCTAATTTCTATCATGGTGAACTGAGTGGGATCTGGTGATTTTATAAGATGTAGTTGTTCTTGTTAGTTAGGTTGTTGTTGCTGTTGTTGTTGGTGGTGGTATAGTTAGTTAGATTGTGTGTCATTATTTGTATGTTGTTGTTCTTTTGTCTCTGAATAAACATTTGTTAAAGTAGACGGACCAGAGTTTATATTTGTATACGTACATAATAATTTATAGAGTTTGGTAATTTACCACACACCCCATTTGTAATATCTTGTGTTGTCTACTTTTGCAAATGGTATGGTATCATGGGGGTAATTCTGATTCCTGAGCTACCATACCGTCTCAAAGGCAACATAACCAGTCTGGCAATTTTTAATGTAAAATGCAATTACATTTAATGTAATGTGCAATATTTGACCTGTAACTTTCCAAAACACCATAAAACCTGTACATGGGGCGTACTGTTTTACTTTATCACTGAATACAAATGTGTGTACTTAATTACAGTAACAGCTAACAGTATTATGACATTTACAGTTAAAATGCCATGCAGAACTGAAAAAATGACACAATTCCTCAATTTTTTTAAAATATATTTTATTCATATTACATTTTGTTTTTACATAAATAGTTGATGTCACACAAAAGCCCTGTTTCCCCTGAACAAAACGATATATAATAAGTGTGGGTGCATTTAATGTGAAAGAGGTGAATTACGGTTGAACAGATATATAGCGCACATTCAAGGTTTTGTTTATGTTATGTTTTGATCTTAACTTGTACAATTGCCTCAGTCTTTAAGGGGTTAAAGTAATGCTTCAAGACCTGGAACCATTATTATAGTGATTAAGGAACTAGGATGCTGTGTTTGCAAACCTAACTAATTTACTAGTTCTGGTAAATCTAAGGCACCCGTGCGCCATTCACTTTGTTCCTTGCTACGATCTGAGTTAGTAGCTCAAAACACATGCAAATAAAATGCTCTATTCCTGACAGGAAATGGTATTGTGTATGCTAACTGAATGAAGTCCTAAATCATGCAACTGAATTGACTAGTTGAAAGTTGCCATTTAATTAAAAGAATGCTAACATTAACATTAACTAACATGCTGCCAAATCCTTTTTTCTTTTAAAGTTCACACTGTCCACCTATTTAAACCCACTCTTTTAAGAATTGCTATCATCTAACAACCCCCCTCCCACACCCTCCTCCCACTAATCATCCTAGGCTATTCATTGAGCACTTTTCTTCCTGGCTTCCCCAATTCCTCTCATCTAGCACTCCTTCCATTATACTTGGGGATTACAATATCCCAATCAATAACACCAACTGCCTCTCGTCTGCTCTCTGTAACCTTCTCCTTTGGCCTTACACAATGGTCCAATTTAGCAACCCATACAGCGGGAAACACTCTTGATCTCGCCTTCACCAATCTCTGTACTACCTCTAATCTCTCCAATATTCCTTTTCCTCTATCTGACCACCATCTGCTGACTTTTGACATTGGCATACCTAGGAACCAATTGACACCACTATCTGAACATCAGTCTCACAGAAACCTCCAATGTCTTGACCTAGAGCATTTCTCTACTTATCTTCAAACTCTTCTTTTACCTATCTCAAACCTCACCTGTCCTAGCACTGCAACCTCCTTCTACAATTCCACCCTCTCCTCTCAACTAGACATCATGGCACCTCCTACATTTAAATGCAGCAAGCGCCCCCAGCAACAACCTTGGCACACCAAGCTGAATCGATACCTCCAAAAATACTGCTGAACGCTGTTGGAGAAAGTCTCACTGTGCGTCTGACTTCCTCCACAATAAATTTATGCTGCGCTCATACAGCTTGGCTCCTTCCTCTGCAAAAGTAAATTACTTCAATACCCTCATAACCACACTCTCCTTTGAACCCAAACGACTATTTCACACATTCAACTCTCTTCTTTGCCCTATTGTTCCTCCTCCACCTACTAACTTGACCGCCTCAGACTTTGCAACTCACTTCATTGACAAGATCTCTACAATCAAGGAAGAGATCTCTCATCTTTATTCTTCCCCTTACAATACTTTCCCTAACCTCACTCCCTCTGCTGTTCTATGTTCATTCGCACCTGCTACAACGGAAGAGGTTTGTGCTCTGCTCCAGTCCCCCTGCCCCATCACCTGCTCTCTAGATCCAATTCCTTTGCTTCTCATCTGTACCCTGTCTTCTTCTCTTTCTCTACCTCTCACTAAAATGCTCTATCTCTCTCTCTCCTCTGGCATATTTCCATCGCCCTTCAAACATGCAACTATAACCCCAATTCTAAAGAAGCCCAATCTTGACCCTAACTCCCCATCCAACTACCGTCCTATCTCTCTACTGCCTTTTGCATCCAAGATCCTTGGAAGAGCTGTGTATGCAAGATTGACAGACTTCCTCGAGTCCAACTCTCTGCTAGACCCGCTTCAGTCTGGTTTTTGCGCTAAGCACTCTGTGGAAACGGCACCGACAAAAGTATCCTATGATCTACTTGCTGCAAAATCTTGTGGTCACTACTCTATCCTAATTCTCCTTGAACTTTCTGTGGCATAAAACAAATAAAAAGGATACGGGTGCACCTAAAATGTATAATAAAACATATACGGAGTATAAAAAATATATAAAATATAAAAAAATATAAAATTGGAATATAAGATTATAAGCAATAGTCCAAAACACTAATCAAGAGTCAGTAATGGTAGGTTCTCCTTGTAGAGACAGGAAATCTTGAGACGTGAGATGGAGTTGAATCTTCACAATGATATGCTCGAATCCAGTGAAGTATATATGAAAGGAAAGCAGAAACAGGACTCCAATGGTACAGTATATCGATGAAAATTTAAATTCTAAAATAGTGAAAATAGTCTTACTCACACTTTTCAGAGCTAGAATCTAGCTCTGATATTATGCGCGTGAAGTGGAATGATCCCCACTCAAGGATATGCAGAGTAGTATTTGATTGGAGAATTTCTATCCCAGGTTCGGCGTTCGAATTGATAGTATTCGACCCAAAATGAGAGAATAAGAATATAGTGCTCTTTGTATATAATTAAACGTAGAAATGTAAAGTAAATTACTCACATTATAAAGAGGAGACTTGTACTGCTCGGTGTGAACGCTTGGGTGGTATAATCCCCACCTATGGATTCTTTAAGCTTCTTGTAGATGTAGATCAGGTGCAGAAATAAAATAAAATAAAGAAAAATGGCAATAAAGTGTTTTATGCCAAATTAAATTCTTTATTACAAGGTAATAAAAAAAAGTTGTGATATCTAAACGCGTTTCGCCTAAAAAGGCTTCTTCAAGTAGATAATAATAAAAGAGGGGCACACCTGATATACAAAGGTTTATATAACATACAGTAATACTATGGGAATTTGAAATTCCTTCCAAAATGACGTCATCGAAATGTTAATATTATAATAAAAACAAAAACAGTTGTTAGAATGCATATTAATGTTGTAAAAAGGAGTATGAGGTAAGTACAAGTAAAATAATATAAAAACGAAGGTTAAATCAACTTTACAATTCAATAGAAGAGCGATCACGTGACGCGCGGCTAGAATTATTTCCGCGTCACGGGATGCTCAGGTGAAACGCATGCGTTCCGTCTATGTGGAACGCATGCGTCATGATCACGTGACGCGCAGCTAAAGTTGCTTTCGCGTCACGTGATGCTCGGGTGAAACGCATGCGTCATAAGGTGGGACCCCCCAGGTTAGTCTGTCTGCATAAGCAGGCAGACAGCCGAAGATAACATCACAAAATGGGAATGTATGAGATTTGAGCAAGTAGTCTCAAAGAGAAAATGCTGTAAAAACAGCACCCTTAATGGTAGTATATATAAGACACAAAAGAATACATAAATAAATCATTTGACACTGTTGCTCATCAACAGATTCTATTCATCCTCCGCAATATTGGTCTACAAGTGTTTCTTTCTCTGGCTCTGCTTCTTCTCCCAAACTCCTTTCTGTTGGTGTCCCCCAAGGTTCAGTCCTTGGTCCCTTACTGTTCTCCATCTATACTGTCTCCCTTGGTAAACTCATTAGCTCTTTTGGCTTCCAATATCATTTCTATGCAGATGACATGCAAATCTATCTGTCCTCTCCTGATCTCTCCCCGTCCCTCTTGACTAGTGTCTCTGACTGCCTCTCTGCTATTTCTAACTTCCTTAAACTCAACTTGACCAAAACTGAAATTCTGGTCTTTCCTCCCTCAAGTGTTGCTACTCCTGTGTCTCTCTCCCTCCAAGTCAACGGTGCTACTATCAACTCCATCACACAGGCTCGCTGCCTAGGTGTTCACTTTGACTCCGACCTCTCCTTCACGCCTCATGTTCAGTCTATCGCCAATTCTTGCCGCTTCCATCTCAAAAACACTGCGCGCATCCGACCCTACTTAACGCCAGATACGAATAAGGTTCTGGTCCATTTCACTGTCCTTTCTTGCCTTGACTACTGTAATCTGCTTCTCAGTGGTCTTACGTGCTCCCAATTTGTGCCGTTACAGTCCATAATGAATGCGGCGGCGAGGCTCATCTTCCTGTCCACCAGCACCTCCCACACCTCACCCTTCTGTCAGTCCCTACATTGGCTTCCTGTAAGATATAGGGCTCAATTTAAAATTCTGGTTCCTGCTTTCAAATCTCTACATAATGCTGCTCCCACCTATCTATTCTCCCTAATAAACAATTATGTCCCGTCTAGGCCCTTACGCTCTGCTGAAGACTTACGTCTATCTTCTGTCTGTACTCCCACCTCTGATGCTGACCTTTTAGACTTCTCAAGGGCTGCACCGTTCCTGTGAAACTCACTTCTCTCCTTCGTTATATGCTCACCCAGTCTCCACTCCTTCAAAAAAATCATTAAAAACCCACTTCATAAAAGTGTATCAATTAAACTGTTAATAGCTCCAGAGTGATTTGTCTCTTGCAACTGTAATTAGTTTAATAGTACCCTTACCTTTTGTGTCACTTTACCCCACTCTCTCTAGCATGTAAGCTCATTGAGCAGGGCCCTTAACCCCTCTGTTCCTGTGTGTCCAACTTGTCTGGTTACAACTACATGTTTGTTTGTCCACCCACTGCAAAGCACTGCAAAATTTGTTGGCGCTATATAAATAACATAATTAACTTTTAAAAAGATGAGTTACTGCATTTATGGAATGGATATGCATCATTTATTTATGTCATAATGCCAACATCAACACTTAAATTAAAAAAAATAAAAAGAGAACTAATAAAACTAAGCCTTACTGTCGCCAATTCGTCAAACTTGCCAAAGAGTTCATTTAAGAGCTTAACGAGTTCCTGTGCAGTACACTGAGATGCCAAACTTGTAAATCCAACAATATCTGCAAATAAAATGCTGAAAAAAACCCACAGAAGACATATTAGAATATTCACTAATTTAAATGGTACAGACATATTTAATACATTTAATTCTAGTTGCATTCTATTTTCAAATGAGCTCAGGCTCTATATAGGTTTTGAGGCAAACAAAATGGGGTATGAACTAAAGTTTGAATTGCTCTGTACTGAAATGGGTAAAAACATGCAGTAGGGGGGCAATATTTTTTCAAACTCTGGACAGGGATTACGGTATTTAGCAATATCAAGATTTAATACTCAAATTTAAAGATAGATGGATAGATAGATGGCAAACTAGGCAATAGTATGCAATGTCTATCTGCTATTGCAAATGCTTGTAAGGTGCTCCCTTGCATGAAAAGGAGTACTGGTTCACATTATCAAAATATAATTTTTCCTTTATGATTCAATGGTGAGATCAACCTTAAAGTGCCGAGGTGAGCTATACAATTAATAAGGGGAATGTAAAACATTAGTTACAAATAAAGGCTAGAAATACAGTTTTCTTTGCAAACAAAAGATGTCTCAGAGGAGATATGATCGCTCTACATGGTTAGTACAAACTGTTATCTGGTAATCTGTTCTTTATCAGGGATATACAACAGACAAAAGGTTATCAATTGATACTGGAAGTAAGGGTAAAAGCAGAAGAAAGAATTCTTTACTGTAAGAAGAATAAAGATGTGGAATTCTCTGTCCAAAGAGGCCATCTTATCGGATAATGTAAATATTGTTTTCCGTTTTATTTCCGGTATTTGTTTCAGAAAAACTAAATATTCAGAGATGATATCAGCATTCATAGAAACAGTTTGTTAATCTAAGTAAAAACTAATTGCCATTATTGAGCCAATAAGCCCTGCTTATTCATTATCCCTCTCACTCCCTCTCACCAGCTGATGCCCTTCACCATACTCTCTCCCAAGAATCCCCCTCAACAGCCTGCTCCAATGTCTGCCTCTATCACCCTTTTCTGCCCCCCTCATCAACCACTGCTGGATGGCTGCCCAATTACAATCATCTTCAGGTATGTTTTCTCTCACCAGCATCAGCTCCCTTGCTGCTCATTCCCTTGTACATGTATATGTGTGTAGCGGAGCACTAGTTTCCCATAGACTTCTCCACTGGTATTCCAATAGTAATGCAGGAACAAGAAGTTAACCCAGGATAAACAGCATCAGTGGTAAATAAAATAATCCAGGAATATCCCATCACCTTTTCCCAATAACTGGACGACACACAGTATCAGGAGCAGAACTGCTGTTTTATTCCACATACCCTGCCTTTATGCATCTCTCCCATGCAAGGGAGACACCCACAGAAAATTATACAGTGATTGTGGCGAAACTGACCTTGCCACTGGGCATTGGAGAAGACTGATTGCCAGCCTCCTGCCATGTGACTATGGCCCTTGGGATGTATTGCCCTTTAAAGACATGATTTGGGCATAAGGGATTTGTGTTGTGCTGCTGCTGGCCCTTTAAGAACCATCTGGGGACATACTGTGGAGTTACTGGGTGGCCACCATTTCCTGTATCAGAGGCACATGGTGAGAACAATGGATGAAGCACATGGTGAGAACAATGGATGGCGGCCATTTTAACTCACAGACACTGTTTGGACTTTTCAACACGGTGCCATCTCGCCAGTATTTGGTGCACAGAGACATCGTGCAGTGGTTTTGGACTATACAGCAGGGGACACATTATACAGTGATTGTTTTTCATTTAGCCTGTATATGTTCTGCAGAATCTGCATTAAACTGTATCTTCCAAAGTACTGAACGGATCTGGGTGAATTTTGGATATGTGGTTCACCCAGATCCCCCGGTTCCAATGATATCATTTTTATGGGGTTATTGCATGTTTTTTGATGTGTTTTATGAAACTGTATTTCTCTGTCTGTGATAATTAGATTACCCATTGTGTAAGGTAATTGTATTACAGGCAGAGGGGAGGATTTTGTGTGGGAGTGTCTGAGTGTATTGTACGTGTTATTGGTTGTTCTGTAAAACCCTGTGGGCAGTACTAAGTTTGTGGATTGGGAATAAAAGAGGCTGTATGTGCCAGTCCAGACTGTTCACTGCTTGACCCTCAACACGTAGCTTTGTCTC